CAAGAATTACAGATAAGGTTACCTAGAAATATTTTACAACACAAGAGTCTTCAAATACCAACTAAGATACTGCAAAGTCCATGAGGATTGAGTTTCAAAATGACTTTGCTTCCTGCAAAGAATGTCCGATTCACAGCTGGCTTTTATTTTCTTAAACGTGGGGCCATTACCTTGCAGTCTTACTCCTGAGTCACCCATGCTTCTGCAGCTGCTCTTTCCTGCTGCAGCTGCTCTTTCCCGAGGAGCCTGTGCCAAGTGCACACTTGGTACAGGCTCCTCAGGAACCTCCTCATCGCTGTTGCCAGCCCCCACAATCTCTGAGGGCAGCCATCCACTCCCTAATGGTCCTGGCCCCTCATCTGAGTCCTCGCTCTCCTCAGCCATCTGCACCTGCTGTCGGCTAACCACCACAGTCTCCTAATCCATCCCAGATGATGTTACTTGTCTGATGGAACTTGTAGCATGCCTTGAGTTGAGAGACAGTGAGTGGCCAAAATCACCCAGATGGCTTTCTCCCTAAGGCAGAATTAAAACTTTTGAAAATCAGTTTAGAAAGAGAGATGAACTCAAAGCTAACCACAGACAGAACATCTACTCTAGAAGAAAAAGCTTGTGATAATTCTTCAAACAAGTACCATAGAAGGATGAAAGCACATATAATGGCTGATAGAAAAATATAGCTCCAACTTAAGCTGAAAATCATTAAAAGGTTTTATAAAGTTTCTTTTCATGTTTATATTGCAGCTCACCTTCCTTGTGAGGAACATGACAATTAACTTTCCTTGACATATCCGCCCTTTTGTTTCTTTTGTATATCAATTCTCAGGATCATTGTGCAATTTGATTGGTTAGTTTTTCATGCCAACATTTTTTTTTGTTAGTAAATTTGACTTAAAGGTCTAGGATGAATGATTGTATTATTCACTGCTTTATGAGTGCACTTGAGTGACACCAATGGCATTTTCATGTACAATTAGATTTCCAATATCCCCAAGTTTGTGGATTAAAATAAATAATGTCCCAATGCAGAAAATCGAGCCTCAAAGGAGAGAAGGTATGTCTTTTTCTTTTAAGCAACTTTTCATTAGCAGAACAAGAATTTTGTACTGTGTTGTTGAGGATTAGGAGTGCTGTTGTTGTTTAATGTATTTCTATCTGAAAGATCACTTTCTACACAGATTGGGATAGAATAAAGGTGTGGCATTTTTCCCCCTTATTCAGATTAATTGGGTCCATTTGGAATAGCATTCTGATAATCAAGCAAGTAGCTGATATGTAAAAAATAATGAAACATCTGCAAGAAAGCAGCCAAGGATTCTGCAGTTGAACCCTGAATTACATATATTGCTCTTTATTGATCTCCTTGCTTTGCTGGAAAATTTGAATAGTGGCTCTCCCCCTTCCCCCCTCCCAGAAAAGAAGGTCCTTTGCTTCAACCTGCTTATTAGGAGGATGATTATTTGAAAGAAAGAAACATTAAACAAGTATTAAAAACTTCTGTCTGAAGGTTTTTAGAAAAATAATGTCCCATGAGAAAGAAATGCTTATGTTGACATGATAAATATCTTTTCTTTTCTTTCTATGACCATGTAGTCCCTTCTTTCTGGTGACGGAGTGGACCTGTGCATTTACTTGACTGGATGACCTTCCTGATGCCTGTGCTGGGTTCACAGCATATATTTTAACTTTGTACATTGATAGAGAAGCCTCTGTTGTTCCCTAGGATTGAACTCTCAATCTTTCAAGGGGGAGGTGAGTGTCTTCACCTCTAGGCCACAGCACCACTTGACTGGATACATATAATTAAGGAGACTAAAAATGCACCCAAGAATTGATAAAATCACATTAGTCCACCTCCCAGAGGAGGGAAAAATAAAACAAATCTTGACAAAAAAATGAACCATATTCTATTATGAGATGAGGATTAAAACCAAGGATAAATCAGCAATATATGTAGACCTATGGGTAAGTATCTGGGAGATAAAACCATGGTTAATATCTTGACATCTTTAGTTGTCAGGATCCAACAATGGAAGTCCATTGCAGAGATGGACTAAACTTTTTCTGAGTCTTTTCCTTTTTTAAAAACAAGTTTTATTCAGTTTTCCACATTTTGACAACTCTTTTTAGTGAACAGCATGATTACAGGCTTCACATACAAATATGACCAAAGTTACATATTCAATTTTTGTATCCAGTTTCTTGTCTTATCAATGCTTTTATACATTTTCTATTTTATTGTATTATTCCAAATACTTATTATTTAATTCACTTATGTTAACTTCATAATCATTATACTTTAGTACTTTTAACTGTCACATTTGTATATTTCATCTTAAATTCTAGTTAAAAAAAAACACTTCTTCTATAAATTGGTTCCCCCCCTGAAATATTAATATAAGTGTGCCACCTCTAAGTTACATATTCATTAATTTTCATCCCTTTTAAATCCCATTAAACATTTAGCATTATTACCTAAAACAATAAACTTAAAAATCCCTTTAAAACTACATAGCATATATAAATCAGATTTTGCATGGTTTTTCCCCTTCTTAATTTTATTAATTTTTTTCAAGAGAAGGACATATTAATCTACTCATTCAAATAGTAAAACGATCCTAAACCCTAAGGTTAATTCCATTTCAGCTCTCCACCTATATCATTTCATTTATTTCAGTATATTTAATATACATATTCCATTAATTATTCTGGTTCATATTTAAATCAAAAATAAAGCCGGCATTCCAATCCTAAAAATATTTCAATATATTTAGTAAGCTTATTCCATTATTTATTACAATTATTTTATTTTATTTATTTATTTGTCAATTGTTTACAAGATAATAAGTATAAGTGTATACATAGTTATGAATACATGAAATGGGTACATATAAGAAAAATAAAAGAAAAATAAAAGAAAAATAGGACAGGGACGGTAGGCACGTTGGTGCGCTTATGCATAAAGAAGAGCATTAGATTCCATTATCAAAAAATAACAATTCTGTTTTCCATCTATATATCCCAATTTCATAACTATAAATTTATTTATATTACCCCCCCAATACCTTGCAGAATCTCCTTTCTATATATTGATCACCCATTATCTCTATGTCTAATTAAGTAATTTTTCCCCATTTTTTATAATTCCTATATTTCTTTGTTCCCAAATCCAGTTTCTTCTCCCTTCTTTCCCCTTGTCTTTTCTCCTTTATTCTTTCACTCCAGTTTTTATCCCGTCTCTATTTATAGCTTCCTTCTGCCCTTCAAATTTCTGCTGACTCTTTTTCCCTTTTTAAATTTTTCGTATATTCCCCTTTTTATTGAATTTCTCAAATCTCCTATATTTATTTCCAACTCTTTTCCTCTTTCTTTCCAGAGTTCTTTTTTCTTGATGATCACTAAAGATGGCCCCTTTTATAATTTGCTCCGCCTCCTCTTCTACCTTTTGTCTTTGTTGTTCATATTTTGCAATTGTATTTTTAATGAATTTTGAAGCAAAACCCAGTGATTCACCTCATTCTTGTAACATTTCTTTCATTTTTCTAAGTTCCATTTTTAATGCTAGAAGAAATATCGCCATTTTACAACTTTCTAATTAGCAATTTAATCCAAATAGTATCTTTAAAGTTTATTTCCAATAGTCAACTTTTATTTTCTTCCTCTCAAGTTTTAAACCTCTGCTAATCCAATGCCAAGTCCATATCAGAATCAAGAATTAATCCAAGGGCAGAATGTTCCTGTTTCTTTCTTTGTTACAATGTTTCAACTTTTCAAAGTTCTTGCTTTATTGTATCAATTTTCCATACAGTTTTAAGAAACAGTCTTTTAAAAGAAAAACAAGCTTAACTTAGATGGCACTCTTTGTTATGCTAAATCTTCACCTCCTCTTTTCTTTTTTCTTCTCTATTATTCAGAGCTTTTTAAACCATATTTCCCCACAAAAAAAGATCAAATCCAATTGATATTAAATTTCCTCTTTAACAATCTATAGTTCAGCTTGATTAGTGCCTATATAGAATCAAAATATACTTATCCAAATTGATTATATGATTCTTCTTCAGCTTCTATCTTCACGGTTTAAAGCCCTGTCACTGTCAAAAGAAATTCACACCTTTTTTTTCTCTTCGCAGCTTTAAATCCTTTCTTAAAAATCCTCTGAAATGTTAATCCTGGGGGTATCTTCCATCTGATTATATCATCCCATTCCTCCTGCTCTTCACTTTTCTCTCTCTCTCCTGCACAATATTATTCTAGTCTAATCTTCTCCTTCAGGGTGGCCATTTTAGACCACCGCTTCAGGCATCTTCAGGAAGGAGTAATTGCCAAGCCGGGGAGGGGATTTGTGACTCCCCTCTACCCAGATGATGGTCTCTCCTTCCTCCACCACCCCTATGAGGTGGCTTCTGCCCCAAATCCAAAGGATTAGGGCTCTCTGACACTGAAGCATGGACCAAAGCCACGCACAATCACAGTCAGTAATCCATCTTCAGGGAAGCTCAAAACCAGAAGCCCTTAGTCTTTCTTGACAGCAGCAGATCCCAGTTGAGTTTTAGCCAAATTTAAATCCTTTAAATTCCACACCAAGTGTAAAAGATCCACATATTGTTTCTAATGCTTCTTTATATATTATATTGATTTTAGCTTTCCCAGTCAATATTCACAGATCTAATCTTAGTGTTAAAGCTATAGGAATTAAAGCTTCTACCCATAATGGTTATAGTCTATTTCATGTATCTGTGCCGTCTTCCTGCACAGAGATGGAAGAGAAGGAAAGGTCAAGTGACAATGTGAGAGATGCAAAATGGCTTAGAGAACCAGATATTCCAGCTAATTCACCTTCCTTTCTCTCCCACATACAGACTTCATCAAACAGTTTGGATTATTGAATTTCACTGAGAAGGAACAGCATATATCAAACCTAGGAGCAGAATAAAATTGGAAAGTAGAAGAAGGAAATGTGATTGGATTAAATAAACCAAATTAAATAACGAACCATGGTGAGGCAACTTCTTCAGGTTTTCTAAGGGCAGATTTCACATATGATTTTCAATGTATATGCAGAGAGAGAATGGGTCACACCTAAATATTAAAATATTAAATGTTAAAATATAATCCTATTTTATTGTCTCATAAACAGAGAGAGAGGGAGGAAGGGAGGAAGGGAGAGAGAGAGAAAGTCAGAGAGAGAGAGAGAGAGAGAGAGAGAGACAGACAGACAGACAGACAGACAGAAAGACAGACAGACAGACACTACATCTGAGTAACCAGGACTCAATTCAAGTTCACCTAGCTCATGTTCTCCAGTTTTCTAACCTGGTGTTTAACCAGTACACCAACCTGCTCTTTATAATATGCATACTAGCATGACTATAATATAATAATTTAAATTCATGTAAATACTGAAAATGTAGCAAAGTAGATAGGTAAAGGATCATACAGAGAATGGTGAGAAATACTGTGGCTTCCCTTAATCATAAAAATATTTGCAAGCAAGTACTGGTGGAATCAGAAAACAGTCAAAGTGGTAGAAAATAAAGATGCTAAAATGCTAACAGCCAAGCACCTGTCACACAAGACACCAAACTTAACAATTGCCTATAAAAAGGTCAAAAATAGTCTAGAGAGTGGACATGGCAGTGCCTGGAGGCAGCAGAATAAAATGGGAAGTGGATAAAAATAACAAAATATAAAAATCTGCAAATAGAAGTAGGAAGATGGTAGCAAAATACAATAATAATAGAATCAATAGTAATAGCTGCCTTGGGTGCAACACCAAAACATCTGGAGCACCATTTGAATGCCATTGGCATTGACAAATTCACCATCTGTCAATTGGCAAAAGGCAGTTTTACTTGGAAAAGCTTTCATCCTGTGACATGATCAACCAGCACCATCTGCCTAATCCAGATAATTGGGAAAGACTCCATAGGTGAATAAAAATGCCTAAACATCTAGTCTAAACATCTGGCTGACTATGCAATCAAACAACAACAACAACAATAATAATAAAACTAATAATAATAATAATAATAATAATAATAATAATAATAATAATATAAAAATAGCTCAATTGTTTGAAACTTTCCTTTTTTCAGGATAGTTTTCTGTTTCTGATTTTTGAATCTGTAACCAATTTCTTGGGTTTAGGTCCATACAAGTACATCAGTTATAAAAAGGTGGGAGGAACAACATTTCTTATAACTTTACTTTTCATTTGGGCAGGGTGAATACAGCTTTCATTACCTAGTATTCTGTCAAATGTGAATGTGTCACTCACCTCAGAATATCATTTTGCTATTGCTGGGCCAACATGTCATATTGCTGCTATGGGTTAGACATTTTTGACATACTGAAGATTGATGTGCTTGAGTGCATGATTTTCTTGAATTGCTACAACCTATTAGTATGGCAATGTTATTTCACCTTGATTTTCGCCTTTCATATTTCTTTGCAAAAAACCTACTTAGTTTTGGGATGTGCAGTGTGCCTTGGCACAGGAGACATTTTTCAGTTTTACTTGACCATTGAGACCAGAGATTTTAGAATTGCTTTAAAGAGCATAAGCAAAACAAATGTAGCAGTATGATCAGCTCTAATCTCAAATAAATTTCACAATTTAAATGCCTGACTTCCTCCTCCTCCCATAATACATTATATTATTAGCATAGAATGTCAGCTGCTGCCTCACCCTTGCTTGTGCTTCGTAACCATGTAGTGACGGTCTTCCATGGATTCTGGGGAGGGCGGATGAGAGGAATGTATTTGGGGAGAAATGAAAGTCATGGGAAAGTGAAAGTCATTTCTATACCTTCCCAAGATGCTGCTTCAAGGTTGCCCAACTGAGAGAACATAGCTGCATATAACCTATGCTTGAAGTGACCATTCTAAAAACATCTACCTTGAACCTGATTGGTCATTGGGGGGTGTCAGTGATTGGAGGCAATTAAGGGAGGGGAAAATTGAACTTAGGGATTTTGGCGTGCAATTTTCAGTTCTGGCTATGCACTACTGCAGTGCACTTGACCTCTAATTAAACTATACCTTTCTCAACAAAAGGAGCCAAGCATCATTTTTATTAAACGGGGCAGATCCCACTTAGATCTTTCTATTAAGTGGGGCAGGTCTGACACAGAGTGAGATTTGCATAGTATTTTCTAACTAGTATTATCACTGTAACATTTAGATCGCACTGAAGATAAAATAAGAAATGTTGCGTCAACATTAATTATGATTCAGAGTATCAGTATTTGTAAGCGTGAGATTATTTTGTTGAACAATTTTCCTTCTTTACATTTACAACTGCCTGATAAATTGTTGTTGCATAACAAAATGAAACTAAAATAATTATTCAGCACTAGGATTTGTTCTTCAATTTAGGACAATTTAAAAGTTAAAGTCTTCCTTGAGTCCACTTTATTTTAGGACACATTCATGCAGGGGTAGTATCCAACTGGTGTAACTACTGGTTCAGTGATTTATGTTTTGCTGTGTGCACATGTATATCATCCTCAGCTTGCTGCCTGGACAGCTGAGCAGCACTGCACGTGGGTCTGCAGTGGTTGAAAAAGCCCCCTTTTCCTGCTTTTTCAACCGCAGCTATGCCACACAAAGCAGCTGAGGTTGAAAAAGCAGGAAATAAAGGTCAGGTAAGAGCCTGGGCAGGTGGGTGGGCCAAAACAGCAGTTCTATGTCTGCAGCTCTTCAGAGCAACCAGTTCTACAGAGGTGGATAGAACTGGTAGAATCCCACCCCTGCGCTCATGACAGTAAAGCCACATAATTTCAGGAAAATCTACATCTAAACTGATGTGTTATGTGGCTATTATAGACACAAAGCAATTGGCAATCCTCTTAACACATTTTGTGATTGTCTAACCTGGTTCCAACAATACAACTAGACTTTTTGGTCACATACCCATACTTTTTACTAAAGTGCCTGGCAGCACCTAGTTCCATAAATTTGAACAAAAGTCACACTTGACAATATATAGTAGAGTACCCGTATATTTAATTCATAGCAATTCTTTTTCTTCAATATGTACTTATGCAGAAGATCTGTGATTTGGATGGTATTAGTTTAATCCACTGTCTCACAGAGACTCTTTGGGGTTAAATTTCACCCAAACAAGGACTGAGTTAAGTTCAGTACAATCCATTAATTTAGGCCACATTTTTCTTGCTAGGTTTCAGCATGGATTCATACTTCTTAGCTGAATTGGGTTATTGTGTATAATCCCCTAAATGCATTAAATATTATCACAACTGACCTGATGAAAATGAGGAATTAGAGCTGCTGGTGTCATATCCTTGGGCTGGACATTTAAGACATAATTACAAATCTATAGGTTTTTCTATTTTTTTAAAAAAAAATACAACCCATTTCTTGCAATATTTGAAAGCACAATTTTATGCTTCATTCAAATTGTTCTCTGAGTGTCTCATTTTCCCATGACTGAAATCAACTATCTTTTTGTCGGAGAAAATCTTTTTAAATATATATCATTAAGTATATCCTGGGATTATTTTAATGTCTATGTAAAATCATTTAATAAATTTTAAACTGGATTTTCTCCAATATGATAGTCCTCAAATAATGATCCCAGCTGAGCCCAGAATTTCTGTTGCTAAGTGAGACATTTATTAAGTGAATTTTGCCCCATTTTATGACTTTCCTTGCCATGGCTGTTAAGTTGTTCACTTAGTGAGTAGTTGTTAAGTTAGTAACATAGTTGTTAAGTGAACCTGGATTTCCCATTGACTTTGCTTGTTAGAAGGTTGCAAAAGGTGATCACATCATGGGGGTGTTGCAATGGTCATAAGTGTGAAAAACAGTCATAAGTCACTTTTTTTCAGCACCGTTGTAACTTCAAATGGTCACTAAATGAACTGTTGTAAATTGAGGACTACCTGCACTCTGTTCAGTTTAACAATGTGCTGGTATTAATAGAAGGATAGTAACTATTGATACCAACATTGCCTGTGAATGATTTGAATTGCAGTTAAATATTATGTCCTTTAATGCTTGGCAAGCCAGAAAATTGATAATTAATTTATTCTGTATGAGTCTAAAAATAAACCAAAAAAGGTCACTTATCAAGTAATATTTTTAAAAACCAGTGGAAAAAAAGGATTTCTAAAACATGGTCCATGAAAACTCTGTCCATCACCAGAATAGCAAAAGTTGGGAAAAAAAAAACTTTTTTATACTGAAACTGCTGTGATAGTTGATTATGATGTGAAGTAACTTGTTTTGCCTTCAGAAACCTCCTCCTTCATCTCCTTCTTAAATTCTATGAAGTCATAAAAAACCAAATCAAAGCTATATTGTACTTATGAATACTTTGGTCAGGTACCTACAAACCAGTAAGCCATAACATGGTTGTAGGTCCTTATATTGCTTTTAGAATCATACAATTAGATCTAGTAGGCAAAAGTTCAGTATTTTAGGATTACTAGTTGTCTCCATCATTCAGAGATCCCTCATTTACCCTAAGCCAAGAGGCTAGAAGTATACAAGCAAAACATTGTTATAGCACTTTTTTCATTAGCTAGGCAAGGAGATGAGACAGGGTTCTTGAAGCCAATTTACATGTGGGTTATAAATTTACTAGAGCCAGTGACAGATTTTTGTCTGAATTCTTTGTATCCATGCAATGTCAGGAACTATAATGCATAAAAATGACCAATACACCAATGTAAAAAAAAGACTCTCTTTTTTGGAAGATAGTGGCCTACTTAAATCACTTTGTCCAGATCTGTTTGTGAAAGTTCAACATTCTTCCAGAGTAATAAAGAAATGTCTTCTGGCGTGACACTCAAACTCATTCCATAATAGTGGGTTCAAAGCCTTTATCCCTACGCATCTGAGTTTCATCCTGGCCATAGGAATAAAATTACTCATTCCATCAGTTTAACATAGATGATTTAAGGTCAAGAATTGAACAGAAAAATGGCTTTCATTGCAGATGCAAAAGAATTCTGATAAAAACCAGCTACTGGAGAATCTTCAGGATTTAAGCCCAGGTCTCATTCTTCAACTTCCCCATGGTAAGAGACACTTTGCCATCAATTTCTTAGTTTTAATCACTGAAGGGAATTACATATTCTGGTCTTGCTGGTTTAAACTTTCCTACTGAAACATTAAACACAGCCAGACACACTAACACTGTCGATTTTCACTCTCAGTCAATTGAATCTGATCTCAGTTACTACAAATGACTTGACTTCTTCCAAAGGAACACTTTCCGAAGCTGTAAAAGATGTAAGGAGGTCAAGCAGTCTTTGGATAATGGGCTGCAAGAAATATTTGGTTCAACACTTCTTTTTAACTCTGTTGCAGTCTGATCTTCATTTTCAGAAATACTACTTTGGGGGGGTGGGGGTGTTGTAATGTAAGTACACGTAGTCCTCGATTTATGGCAGTAATTAATCCAGGAATTACGGATGTAAATCATGTCGATTGTTAAGTTGTCCCTCATGTGATTGATCTAATTTTACAACTCTTTTTTGTAAGTCATGAAGTGAAGTGGTGGTTGTAATAGCAATACCAGTAGCACCTAGACTTATCTACTGCTTCATAGTGCTTTACAGACTTCTCTAAGCAGTTTACAGAGTCAGCATATATTGCCCCCAACAATATGGGTCCTCATTTTATTTACAGAAGGATGGAAGACTGAGTCAACCTTGAGCTGTTCAGAATTGAATCCCTGGCAGTGGAAAGAGTTAGCCTGCAATACTACATTCTAACCACTGGGCTGCCTCAAACATGACAGTCAATAAGCAAACACCATGATCGTTAAGCAAACAGATTGTCTGCAATGGGAGTTTTTGTTTTGGCTGCAACCCAGAAGCAAGAGAAGTAAACACTGATTTCTGACCTCCCCAAAACCCCACCTTTGTAAATCATGTTCATATAACTTCAGGACGCTGCAAAAATTGCCAAAATTTCTTACCAAGTGCTAAGTGCCCAAAATGTGGTTTGGTGACTCTGAGGGTGGGATGGTGATTGTCAGAACTTCAAATCCAGATTGTAAATAGCTTTTTGAGATCAGTTATAACTTTGGACAGTCCCTAAGAAACTGGGCATTAAGCAAGGATTAAGTGAAATTTTGCAACTCTTTAAAGACTAGCAAATATTCTAAAACTCTTAAAAAGAATAACTACACATCAATCAGCCTGACAACCATGCCTAGAGAAGTTTCTAAAACAGATCATTAATAGATCAATTTGAATAAATTGTAAGAGCAATGAAGAAATTATAAGAACTCAGCAGGGATTTGTCAAGAAAAATATCCTCACATTAAAAAAAAAAAAATCAGGTAAGCCCCTGAGTACATTGTGGGAATGATGTAGTAAAACATTTACAAGGTTCACCATGACATGCTAATTAAGAATTTGTTAAGTGTGAGCTAGAGGCCATGACAATTAAATGGGCACAGAGATATTTCAAAAAATATACTACAGCAAACCAGAGGGATATATTGAATGGGGTGCTACAAGGTTCAGACACGAATTCAGTGTTCTTCAATACTTTTTCTTAATAACTTGGATGAAGAGGTAAAGAAAATGTCTATCAGATTTTCTGAAAATACATATTTGAGTATAATTCCCCAGAAAAAATTCAAATAATCTTGACAGGTTAGAGAAATGTGATTAAATCAGCAGAATGAAATTTAACACAGAAATGTAAATATCCTTATTTAAGAAACAATACAGTTTAATGGAATATTGGCTTGGGAATAGTACTTTGGGAAAAGAAATTTAAATAATAGCTAATTGCAGATTGAATTGGCAGCATGATATGTCTAGAAAACAAGCAAATATAATCTTGGGCTGCATAAGTTATAAATATATTTTTCAAAATCTTATAATGTACTGATTTATTCTGCATTGTTCAGATGTCATGTCACGTGTTGAGTCCAGTTTTCATAGCACAGTTTTAAACAGACATACTGAAACAGGTAGAGGTAATGTACAGGAACTAGAAGCAAGATTCTATGAAGAGAGATTGAATGATTTGGTTATATTTATTCTTGATGAGAAAAGGATGAAAGGTTTTAAATAAATGGAAGGTCAAGATCTATTATCTATCATTCCAGTGTGTGTGTGTGTGTGTGTGTGTGTGAAACTATGGCATACCTCTAACCTTTCATTTCATTGACTTATCTCTCCTCCACAACAAAAGAGTTTCAAACATAGAAGGTCTCAAGGTAAGACAAAGGAGTGGAAGAAAGAATTAGATAACTCCTGTGCTAAGCAATATAAAGAGATAAAATTATTTAAAATTCAGAGGGATGGCCACAGGGGTGGAATTCAAAATTTTTAACTGGTTCTGTGGGTGTGGCTTAGGTGGTGGATGTGGCTTGGTGGTCATGTGACTGGGTGGACATGGCTTGGTGGTCATGTTATTAGCTGGATGTGGCCAACTCAATATCACTCACATCGAGGCACGCATCTCCTCCCCTGGCCTCTCATGACTGTGGGGATGCTGCAACAGTCATAAGTGTGAAAAATGGTCATAAGTCACGTTTTTCAGTGCCATTGTAACTTTGAATGGTCACTCCACACAATCAAAGTACCAGCAAAGGAGGGAAAAAACTCCAGAGAAGTTCCTGAGACAGGAAGTCCAATCCTGCCAAGAATGTAATAAGGGTTAATGGAGAGGCAGTTTCTGTAAGCAACACCAAAATGTTTCCTTCCTTCCTTCCTTACAGGATTAGGTCAGTAATTTCTTCTAAAAACTGGTTCTCCAAACTGCTCAGAATGTTAACAATCGGTTCTAGTGAATAGGTGCGAACTGGTAGAATCCAACCCCTGGACAGCCATTATATTAAAAGTCATTTTGTGTATTTTTTACACAGAAAATTTGGGGAAATTATTTTAAATGGCTGAATGAAAATGAATGAATGAATGAATGAATGAATGAATGAATGAATGAATGAATATGGTTGTACAATTTTATTCAAGTATGGAACAATATTCAGCTTATTAAGTTTGTCCATATGATTTCTTTAGGCCTTTCATAGTTAGTCAATTATAGTGCTAGAAGAAAAATAAAACTTGTTAATGGGCAATCTTGTCAATTGAAGGCAGTCAATAGGGAAATAGGTTTTCAGAGAAATGCCTTAATGTCTCTATTTTCCTTAAACTGCAAATCTGATTTTAAATTTTAAATTAAAAATGGAAAATGGAGAAATGAAAATATATAATTTTGCAATGTTGACTACTTTCATTTGTTTTCCTTTGTTAATAATGAAGTGATAAAAGTGTATTGTATCACAGTAATGGAACACTGCTTAATAGTAAGTACAATGTTAGGTTATTAATCCTTTGTTGAAAGATATGAAATAATGTTCTCTTTTATGCAAATGTTATCCATATTTTACATCCCCTCAAATTTAGAAGCAAGTAAACTAGTCATCATAGTTTATAGTCATCAATAACATGTTTATACATAAGGTGTTCAAGAGAAAGAATTATGTTGTATCACGCAGACAGCTAATTCTTCAGTAGCAATGGTTATTTAACAAGGTTATTTCTTGTTAAAATCTTTCCTAAAGCAAAGAGGAAAATTAACTCCCCTTTGAGCCAGATATTAGCTGACTTTCAACTAAGAACAATATTGATTAGTTGACGGTAGAGAAGAGAACATCTTGAATATTTCGGAGGTCATTATAGTCAGTAGACCTCAACCTAGTCCATTTTCTTTCATTTATCTGCATTTGAATTTCTATTTGAAATGTAAATTACTCCTCCCTCTAATCTAAAGAAAATAGAAAATAAGATGATTCTAGAGAGAGAGAGAAAAAATTGGGGGATCAATATGTTAAGAGGCTGATAACTACCGTATTATAAAAAAATATTCTTAACACTGAAAATCCACATGTGGAATATGGTGGGTAGAAGATCTCTAATATCCAATTGTTTTAAATACAATTAGTAACTATTACACTGGAATCTCAGGTTCTAACTTATTACTAATGTTGTGTGAACAGAAAATATCCCTGCACACCGTTTATTTTAGTACTACCCAGCTCTGCCTTATTTTTCTGTCAGAATGACATTCCTATCTAGAAAGTAATGTGTTAAAAAAACAGGAAGAGATAGCTTTTGTTAGACAAGCCCTTGCAAAATTTCTTCTCCAGAGGCTAAAGATAACCATACCTTTTCTTATTCAGCCATGTGGAAAATTAGCAGTCAGACTGTCAGACAAAAGTCAAATGTGCCCATTGAAGTAGCACTACTTATGGTTTTAAAAATATTCAGAAGTTTTGGGGGTGGGCTTGAGAGCAAGGGATACCCATAGAGATGGCAGTATTGCTGCTGGGAAAGATAGCAAAGAAATGTGACACTGTCTCTGATTTAAATTCCAGGTTGTAAGAACAAGGTCATTGTGCAAGAGAGTTAGACCAAGTAAGCACAAGCAAAAAGCATCTTAAGATGTCTCACTCAATTTTCAAAAGCTGCAATGTGTTACACGAGCAATGACTGTCATTTTCCCATGGCTAAACATGAATAATAGAAAGTTTAAAATGAATTCTTGGTAGTGTTATGATTTCTGATGACTGTATGTAGATTAATTCTTGCCCTTGAACAGGATGGAATATGCTGGAGAAAAAAAAAAAAACCCAAAGGGCTGTAGAATATCTCCTCTATTTCTTATAATCAGAAATGATGGCAAGAAACTTCATTAGCCCTATATACATGGCTAGTATATAGGGAAGATTGGATTGGTGGCCCAACAATATTTGAAGCAATCAGATTCCCTACCCTATTGTAGAATATTGCCTAGGAAAAATGGAATGAACAGCAGATACTGTATTTTTGGGTGTGTAAGATGCACTCCCCCCCCAAAAAAAAAATAAATAAATAAAAGTGGGTAGAAATGTCTGTGCATCTTATACAGCGAATATGGCTGAAGCCCTGCCCACCCACTGGCCCCCACCCTTCTCCTCTGCTTCCCAGCAATTTACCTCCTTGCAGCAAACAGCAAAAAACCTGGTCAGTTTCAGCACAGCCTGATTTAGCACAAGCAGTTGATTGTCAGTTGGATCTGTCTCCCGACGATTAGCTGTTTCAGGATTCAGGGATCATTGCCTATGGCTGCCTCCCTGTGCCCCATTTTTGGCCTCCATATCCCATTTTCAGCCTCTGCGTGCCCCATTTTTGCCCCATTCTGATCCTCACCACCTGGAATAGGCCAAAAATGGGGCGCATGGAGACCAAAAACAGGATACAGAGGCTGAAAGTGTGGTGCACAGAGAGGGTGGTGATCCATGCAGACTGAAATAGCTGATCGTCGGGAGGCCGATCCAGCCAACAATCAGCTGCTTGTGCCAGTCAGGCTGTGTTGAAGCTGACCAGACTGTTTACTGTTTGCCGCAAGGAGGCAAATTGCTGGTAGAAGCAGATTTTTTTTCCTTGTTAGAAACGCTAGGTGCATCTTATACTTTGGAGTGTCTTATAATCCTAAAAATATGCTATTTGATTCTAACTCCTCTTGATCCGCATTGCTAAGTTTTTGATAATTGGCTTGGACATGATTACCAATATTTAAAAAATCCAACTTCCAACTGAAATGATATGTTGAACTACATTAGATGCTGTTACATGGCCAGCTATGGAAGGTGCCATTCCTTTTCTG